GTAATTCAGTTTTACAGCTAAGGAGATGAAAAGAAAGCAAAGGTTAGGTTCCATTTCCACTAATGGAGATATTTGTTTCAATAAAACAGCACCAATAACAAATAGATCAACATTATAGCCATTGCACAAATGTGACAAAGAGAGATGGAAGGAAGGAAGGAAGGAAGGAAGGAAGGAAGGAAGGAAGGAAGGAAGGAAGGAAGACAGGAAGACAGGAAGGAAGGAAGGAAGGAAGGAAGGAAGGAAGGAAGGAAGGAAGGAAGGAAACTAAACATGAAGGCCCCAGAGCATGACATAGGCAGTCAGAATCTATAGTGTAATAGACACTTGGAAGAAGGGAACACTGTGGGGATGGTTACTAGTTTTATGACTTTTGTTTGAAGAAAGACCTCAATCAGCAGTGGGTGGACAGTTATAACTCAGTTAGCAACATTCAGGCTTACTGATTTGAAGAACAAGAATAATTTAGGGCTACCACACACAACAGCTAAAAACCGGTAGGAGAATATCTTTAAAAGAGATATCCAGAGGAAGAAATCCCAAATTGTACATAAAATGTCTGATAAAATCACTGAACTACAAATGTTTGATACAGATGATGAGCAGCCTAAATAGGGCTAATGGAACTAACTCATCACAAATTCCAGCTGCTGCAAAATGCAGGGGAGAATATGGAACTTAAGTTCAACCAATTTGACTGCCTGAAAAAAATAAATAAACACAATAATATTCTTCAGAGAAAGAAACAGAATCCAGAGTGTCTACATAACATTCACTATCCCCCTGGGGGAATTTTAGACACAATCTAAAATTGTTCGACATATGAAAAAGGCAGAAGATATGGCCCTATTCAGGAGAAAGGGCAATCATATAGACCAACTCTGAAATAATCCAGAGGTTGTATTTAATATACAAGGACTTCAACAGCAGCTATTATATCTAAGGTGAAAGATGCAAAAGAAAATATGCCTATACTAATGACCAAATAGGAAATTTCAGAAGACAAATAGAAATAGTTGTTTTAAAAATTGAAATACTAAAACTAAAAACTACGATCACTCAAAAAAGAAATCCACGGTTTGTTGAAGAGAATTTCAGGATCAGGAAAGAAAGATGACATGAAATGAAAAGTAGATTCATAAAGATTAGCCAACATGAAAATAGTGGACAGGTCCACAATCACCTGTAAAAAATATCAAGGAAATAGCATGAGCTTATGCCACAGAACAACTACTACAATACAACAATACAAGTATAAAGGAGCTGATTTGAATAAGAAACAAATGGATAAAAAAATCACACATTCATTTCAGTACATGCAGAATAGATTTATAAAAAAAACCAATACCTTTTCATGATTATAATAAATTAGGACTATCAATCTCATAAAAAGGAAATAAGGAAAAACCACGAGTTAACATCATGTTTAGTGAATAATTAGAAAATTAAATTTAAACATTCATTTAAAATAATGTTCAATACAAACTACCCTGAGGAGATCAACAAGGTCTCACTTTCCATCCCTGGCTGAGTAGATGAGTCACCTGGACTGAGAGGGTTCATAGCACTGGGAAGACGGTGGAGCTGTTATATGTGAGATATAAAAAAAATTGACCTAAGATTGGACAATATGGAGAGGTTAGGAATCAGGATCAATGAACTCCCACTCATAGATCTTGGGCAAAGTGGATGATCATTGGAATCTAATACCCTTAAGTGCAGATCATGCGTCTCTATCCCAACAGGGACCTCAGGTCCCCAAGATTTAGAACTTCTGGTCACCAATAGTGAGAGCTCTAAGTACCTCTGCCTGTTCATCCCCATGGATCAACCTACAGCATGAAGCCTGTGTATTCTCTCAAATTCTGCTGAACCTTTCCCCTTAAATTTCTACTGTGGACACCCATCTCACAAATTAATGGCCCAGCACTATCCTAAAGGCCCCACATATAGGATGGGGTATTCACCAGGACATGGTTCAGAGACGAGAGAGGGGAAAACCCTGGGCTGAAACTTGCATCATGAGAAGACCCACACTTGATGCTCAATGAACTTTTCATTTTGAGTCCAGAATCCCTTCTCAGGACATTTTCTGAGGAGAAGCAATGTAAGCGGAAGCTACTCACAGGCTTCATACTCTTGTGAAGAGAGGGCTTTACTTGGGGGCAGAGGATGCTGTATTTTTTTTAAAGATGTCTCAGTGCACAAAGATGTCTGTGTTTGCTAACTCAAGTACTTTTTCTGTAACTTGTTATACATTCTGAACTTGAGACTTGAAATTCCAGGGAACAAAAACCCATGGATATCCTTGGAGAGTCGCCTGTTGTATAATTCCATAGAATACATGTTTTTCTTAATGACCTATGGACTCAGTCATCATAGCAATAGGATGACAGCAAAGCAGAATTCAGAGGGAATATGGATAACAATCAGTTTCCCTCAGTGTCTATGAGAGGAGTGTGTGTGTGTGTGTGTGTGTGTGTGTGTGTGTGTGTGTGTGTGTGTGTGTGTGTAGAAACAGAGACTGGATGTATCTATCTTGGAATCCCTCTCCCACCGCAGGCTACCCAGAAATGGAGGACTGAAGGATTTCTTGTGAAGGCAAGAGTCCAGAGAAGACACTGTTTTGTCAAGTAGCCAAATGATTCTTTTTCTGTCAGCTTCTCAGCTCATAAATAGGTTGGGAAAGAGCTGGAAATGAACATGCCAGAAGACATGGGAGCAACACCATGTGCTGCACAAACACTCATTACTGCAGCATTGGCCCTGCTGCCTCCCTGGAGAACAGGCTAACTCATTCCTGAGGACAAATGTAGAGTGAGGCTGACCAGGAAAAGGGAACACTGACTTACGCCATTCCCGAGGGAGCGCGTACAGAACTCCTGAGCCTGCCTCTATCACCGTAAGTCATAATGTGAATCAGCACCTTAAAAATGGAGATTTACCTGGGCAAACAGAGAAAATGCTCTCTAATGAAAGGGAATTACTGTGGAAATAGACAAGAACAATGGACATTCATCTAGTATATTCACTTAGATTAATGAAGCTATTACAGTACTTAAAATAAAAGAGTAGGTAGCTATGAAGAACACAAAACTTTTTTCTATAGTAAAGAAACATTTATTATGTGCATAGTAACAATATAGTTAACTATAGGCAGAATGTTGTACAGTGTATCTATAGAACTTATTAATCTTGTCTACCTGAAATTTCACACTTGTTAAACTGCAACACCTTAAAAAGTTACCAGGTTGGATTTCATGGTAAGTGCTTTTACCACAATAAAAAAGGACAATTTGATTGATAGCAGACTATTAAATAGCAAATTCAAAGAGAATCTTTAGAGAAAATAAATAACATCCTAGAATTGCATATGTAGACAATTATTTACCTGTAAGATAAAGTATATTTGAAGATTAACAAAACAGAAATATTTATTATGCAAAAAGATGAAATTAAACAGTGATCTGTGATTCCTTAATCAACTTATTCTATTTCAAGCCATAACAAAGTTACTAATATTTGAAGTAGGAATATTCATTGTTAACATTCCTTATTTCAAATCACAGTGAAAATTATTTAACACTAATTTGGATCAGTATTAAGTGTTGGGAAATGAGGAAGCTAATACAAACATTCTATTATTTAATTCCCACCATATCACTATCCAGGATGTTTACTTCTAATGAGAAACTCAATCCAATCACATTTTATTTAATATGAACACATCACAATAATGGTATTCTAGCTAATTTCAAAGTTCAGGCTCTTAACTCCCAATGTTCACCCTCTATCTCACCTGCAAGAGCTCCCTGACCATGAAGAAGCACAACATGGTTAAAGCCAATACCACGAGCTGCTCCTATATCACTAACGGCTACATGGGTTGAACACATCAATCTATATCTTCTGACACCTAAGAATTTCCCATGATGCTCATGGCTCCTTCTGCAGATTAGCATTTCCTGGGTTGTCCCTCCAACCCTACATCCTAGGGAATCTGGCTCTTACCTTTTTGGGAGGAGTGCACTGCAGAAAGGCACCTGTGCTAGAGAAACACAGATCTAGTTCTGATCTTGCCTCCTCCATTCATTAGCTATGGGACATTGGGAAAGACCTCATAAGTTTATATATTCATTTAACTACCTGATAGGGATTTTTTCTTGATGATCCCCATATCTGATGCTGGAGATCCAAGATGTCCTCTCTCATGCACTGCCTCTGGCAGGCCACCTGATCTTTAGCCACTGCCAAGTCATTCAGCACTGCATCTTCCTCCAGCTTTTGCAGCTCTTCTGCTCCTCCCGGTATAAGATGCCTCTCATTTCTACAAACCCTTCCAGAATCCTCGTCTCTCAGTCTGTATGATTCTATTGGGATGAGAAGAGAAAGGGGCAGTCAGTCTGTCTAGCTGAGGGACTACTTTTCATGGGCCTGGGAACCAAGACAAAAACTATTTTCCTCTGGCACTTCTCACAGGGATGGGAGGTGAAAGGAGGTGAGCAGGGCTTGGGAAAACCATTTTCCTACTATTTCCCCTTGAGCTCCTCCCAAAGTAATTCAGCAATGCACTTCATCAAGGTCAACCAGGAGACACAATGTGATACCTGGATGAAGTCTGAATTGCAGACACTTGTCCTGGATAGACATGCCACACTGTGTAAGACTTTTCCACCCATAACTCCTAACAGGGAATCCTGGGTCGTCCTCAATGTGTTTTCTGAAAGTATCAGAGCCTCAAACTTAATGACAGAAATGGGACATGGGACTCATGAGTCACTTTTACATTGCTTCCCTCTATGCCTTTGTCTTCAAATAGCTGTTCTCACTTGGGATAGGTCTACTCTCCAGCTCCCAACCCTCAACAAGAAAGGGATGGAATGAGGACTAATCAAATGTCCTCTGGACTCATGAATTCTGAGGTGACAAAGAGAAAGGAGCCTTTTTGTGATTGGACCAAGGTGCTGCCCAGTTTCCCGTCTCAGAACTCCCTCAGAAACAATCTCTTCCTGCCTTCCAGGTAGCTCTCTCGTCACTGATGTCAGCTTCTAACTTCTCAGCTTCCTGCTCCTCCTCCGTCAGCCTCTTCAGAGCTTCCTGTAGCTTCTCCTGTGAGAAAGAAACCACCAAAGTCAAACTCTGAGCTTTCTCAGCACCTGGATAGAGGAAAAATGGGGAAGAAATCAGGCTCTTCTCAGAAGAGACTAAAGTTTACAGAAATGATACTGGCAACTAGAACCGAGAATGTAGATAAAAATCTTTATCCCTCGGTGATGGAAGTTTCCATGCCTTTATCAAGAGTAGCCTGCACTTCTCTTTTCCTAGAGGAAGAGCTGGTCCTGCAGCACGAAAAGCCCTTTCCTGTCATGGATACTTTCCCCACATCTAACACCATGTTGTGCAATCAGAACTCATCTTGGGAAGAAACTCACTCACATAACCTCTGTTTGCTAAAATTTTGTAGTGTATGCTTATTCTTGAAGAAAATGAAAGAATGCACAGAAACGCCCCTCATGTCTCAGAAGCTGAGCCAAGGGTATGAAAAGGGAAAGCAGAGCTCAGTCCTGTGATGACAAGGTGAATAAACACAGTTTAAAAAGTGAAGGTTTATTATTCAGCTGCAGCTTCGGGTGTACACTGCAGTGGTCAGGCATCTACACCATCCACGAAGGGTCTCCCTAATAACACAAATGTCCATCAGATCCCTACGAAATTTTACAACATTATTGATTATATTCAATGTGACCTATATTTTAATGTGTGTGTGTGTATATATATATATATATATATACACACACACACACATATATACACATATACACACACACACACATATATTTATATATATATATAAAATATACATATATAGTCATGGGATGTGGATTACAGCACAGGGAATAGAGTCAATGGAATTGTAACAACTATATATGATGTCAAAGTGGTAGTAGATTGGGGGAGGAGGGTTATGACTTTGTGAGGGGTGTAAATGTCTAACTATTACATTGTTTTGTAGCTCTGAAATTAATTAAAACAAAAACAAACAAACAAACAAAAAAGTGAAGGTTTCACTTCAGTTACCATTCTGCCCAATTCTTCTCCACCCTGGGGCCTACCTGACATTCCTGGGCCACTTCTTCAATGGGGAACATTTGGTGACCATGATGCTCCACAGACAGCACACAAAGCTTGCAAATGGCCTTCCCATCCTCCTTACAGAAGATAAGGCGGTTTTCCCCGTGCTGCTCACAGAGATCTGCCCCCTGCCACTGTTGTGACGTCGTGTTGACCTCCCTGAGTTTCTTCACTATGTTGGCCAGCTGCAGATTAGGACGCAGGTTCCAAGGCTGGTATCTGCTCTGGCACACAGGACAGTGGCATTCCCCTCCTGGGGCGCTCACGGACTCATTGTTTGCAGTGATGCAAGCTTGGCAGAAGCTGTGGCCACAGTCCAGGCTCAGGGGTTCTGTCAGGAGCTGCAGGCACATGGGGCAGGTCAGCTCCTCCGCTATGTTCAATTGTGCTGGAAAATCCATGGCCTTGCTCCGCTGAGGCTCCTCTTGCTCACAAACTCCTGCAGGCCTGGGGATGACGAAGGGGGCGGGATAAGAAAGGCAGGAACAGAAAGGATGCTGATTGTGCAGAGAATCAGAACTGCACAGAACATCAATGTTCCACAAAGGAAGGAAAAGAGAGAAGAAGAGTAGATCATGACAGAGTGAAGAGGGCTCTTTGGAATAATTTCAAACATTTTACTCTTAATTTGTCACATAACAAATTTCACCTGGTCAGGGAAATGATTGCATTTTCTCTTCTTCACCTGGAGAGAAAGACAATTGACGCCCTTCCTACCAGGAGCTTTGTGCAGCCCATCATTAGCCCTGCCTTTTCCTCCCCACCCGAAACATATCCTCCATATTAAATGTGCGAACCCCTCTGCGTCCCCCAGACTTTTGCACTTGCTTTTCTTTCTGCAGAGCATGATCCTACCCCTGCCATTTGCATGACTTAACTTTATTTTAATCGTTTCATTGAGCTATATTTACATCCATTTTAGGAGTACAGTAATTTCTAATAAATTTATAGAATGGTATAATTAACACCAAAATGTAATTTTAGAATATTTTTATTTCTTGAAAACAAACTAATGCCATTAGTACTCTGATGCTGAGCCTCATGCTATCATTAATCTCCCTTGTGTTTTTACTGATTTGGTTTTTCTTATGAATTCATAAAAGTGAAATCACAACACATGGTCTTTTGAGCCTGAATTCTTTCACTTTGCTCTCATTGAGGTTCATCTCTCCTGCCTTTCTTTCCTGTGCAAAGAATACATTGTTGTTATTAAAAGGGCAAAACCCACTGCTGCCTCAGAGAATCTGCACTTGTGTCTGTCTCTGCATGGACCGATCTTCTCCCTGATGTCAGCATGACTCACTCTTACATTTTACTCAGTCTCCCCTTGACACGTCTTCTTATCAGAAGGACTTGCTCTTACTTATCTGTAGCAAACCTGCCAATACTATCGCTTGCTATACAGTTGCTATCTTTTCCTTATTTTTCCTACATACTATATAACATCTTTAACTGTCTACCCTTCTTTCTAAAAAGTGATGCATGCATAGATCAGTTGTGTTTTGTTCACTGATGTATCGTCAGTGCCTAGAACAGTGCATCACACACAGGGACACAACGGTTGATGAATATATAAAACTTGAGAGAGAGAACCTTGTCCTCTCTCCATAGGTGATTGCTTTTCTTATCAGTTTTTCATCTTTTTTTTCCCATCAATTCAGTTTTCCCTGACTCTGGGTAGTGAACACATAATACAATATATGGGTGATGTGTTATAGAAATGTATACTTGATACCTATATAATTTACTAACTAATGTCACCACAATAAATTTAACATATATAAATGAATTAACAGCTAGCCAATAGCTGAGACATGTTTACCTCCTAACTCACCTGTCCCACACAGAACCTTCCCATTGCCCTCAAAGTCACTCTCCGGAGACACCTACAGAAACAGCAAGAACCACAATAAGAAAATCATTTTAAGACTAGCAAGTTTATAATCAGTTTTAATTTAGAGATCATCTTGACCTATTTATTTTTCATATTAACATTTTTTGACAAATAAGAGTACTGCCTTCATCAGATGTGTCAAGAGAATAAATGTCTTACAGAGATCATTTTTGTCCTAGGTAGAATTGGGGTGACGTGTCAGCCTCAGGAACCCTATTGAGAGTTCTCTCCACTACTGCACCGATTTAAGCAATGGCAATCAGAGGTAGTAGGGCCAGAACTAAATTGATACCCAGTGCTATGGGCATGTAGAAATGGAGAGATCAAGGCCAGTTGGGACGTTCTAGGAAGTCTTGTGTTTGTAGATGTTGAGCCTTTTCCTTGGCCTGGACATAAGGCAACATGTCAATAGGCACCTAAATGTTTGTTTCTAGGGAGGGAGGGGTTCATATACTTAGCATCACACACATGCCACATACCTGAGTAACACACATTCCAGGGAGGCATCTGTCAGTCATGGGAGAGAAGTTTCAACATGGACGTTTCAACAGATAGTGGAGAGAGAAAGTCTGTCTTGTTTCATACACTTTGAATGCTATTACGTGATGAATTGTGTCCCGTGAAAAGATGTTGAAGTCCTACCCCCAGGATGTGTGTGAAGATAAGTTTATTTGGAAATAGGGTCTTTGCAGATGAGCACATTAAAATGAAGTCATTAGGGTGGGCCATAATCCAATATGACTCTGTCTTATGAAAAGGGGAAATTTGTACACCGATAGACATGAACACATGGAGAATGGCATCTGGAGACACAGCAGAGATCACAGCCATTTAACTATACACGAAGGAACTCCATTGATTGTCATCCAATTATCAGAACGCAGCAGAACGGTAAGGAACAAATCCTTCCCCCACAGTCCTGAGAGGAGCCAACCCTGCCAATACAACTGATGTCATATTTCTGGCCTCCAGAACAGTTCAAATAAAAATTCAGTTAAGTGGTTGGTTTTCCATTGCAGCACCAGAAAAATGACACAAGTGATTATTTTTGCTGTATCCATTCATTTTAGTCTATCATTGAAGAAGCATTACACAATTGAAACCCTCCCACTTAAGAGAGACAGACAGACAGACAGAAACACTCTGTATGCTCCCTTTTGGAGATGGTACAATGTAGGAGTTTTTACAGAGGAATGTAAGGGCCAACATAGTCCTTAGTTTCCTAATCTCACTATAGCCTAGTTGTCTGCACAGAAGCATTCTGTATCTGTACAGTTCAGACAGGAAAAATAAAAATGTCTCCCCAGTGGGGGGAAAGTTCTATGAGGGTTTCACCCACCACCCTTGAAACTTCCCTTTTTCCCTGGGTCAGAAACTGCCAATAGGATGGTGAACCTGTTCTTGGTATCCAGGCATCTGAGGTTCTCAGAAACACTGCGACCCCTCCCCATTCCTCCATATTCAGAGCTCCCTCTTCTACCACCTCTGAGAGTCCAGGGTTTAGTTGCCCCTCATTAATGAGCCACCCCCAAGAGCTCCCGCTCTCAAATCAATTTGTTTCACAGAGTCATTTTGTAACAGAGGCAGTCTTCATGAAGCTATCTCTCGTCTCAGCCCTTTATCTCAGTCAGTTCATCAGAAAATCCTATGGCACTCTCTTCAACTTAGGTCCTATCCAACTCAGTCTTCTACTTGGATCCAGGAATAGCTTCCCCACTAGTCCTCTTGAAACTGTTAGTGGTCTCATGTAGGTTGCTGTCACTTCTCAACCCATTGGCCAGAGTGATTTTTTAAAGTAGACATCAAACATGTCACTCCTCTCTTCAAATGCATGTTATCAGTGAGTCGATCTTTATCATGGTCTAGTTAAGTCCACATTACACATCCCCGACTGCCCCAGTCTCTGGGCCCACCTTCACCCCAACCCACACTGGTCAGCTTTATGTTCCTTAATTGCTCAGGACAAAAATCCATCATTTCACTGAAGAATCTGTTGATAATCACCTTTCCATGCTGAAATGTAAACTGAAATTTATTAAAAGCTTCAAAGCCCTTTACCAGGGAACCACAGATATCTTGCTCTATTGCCCTATTGGTTTATTATTGTTGTTGTTTCTTAGTTTTACATTTTACCATAGTAATCTTCATCTTGTTTCATACTATCTTGCTCTTCTACTATTTTTTTACTTTCTTTCTCCTGACCCAGAGTATGTTTTGTAGGTACTTAATATTTATTGTATGTTCAATTGATGGTTATAATTTTTACCACAGCTGTATGTTTATCTTAAGAGTTTAAGAAAAATTATTCAAACATTTCAAAAATCCATCTTCTCTGGTTTTCTGGGCCCTGTATTAGCTCCTGAGTAGACAGTGAATATACACCAGATATGAGCCTTGTCCAGGTATGTGGCAGAGACTCATGATCCCTGAAAAGGGGGAGAAAAGGGAAGTTTACATCAAAATACATGTAACAGAGATCAAGGTACCCAGTGCTCCAAGGGGAGCTTAAGATGGAGTTCATTCTGAGACATTACCAACTCCTTTCCTTAGCTCTGTGCACAGGAAAAGTGAGGAAGGGGTTGTGTAATAAACAATGGAAAGGTCTGTCTAATGATATAAAACAAGTTCTAAAGCAGGAGAGGACACCAGAGGGTCATGGGGTGACCTGACGTAAGAGTAAGCTGCGGCAGGCAGAGAAGAACAAACTCCCTGTGCCTGGACCTCCAGAGGGACAAATGATCACGGGGAGCTACACCCATGGGCAACAACTTGATCATCCAGCCTG